GCTAGGGTGACCAAACAGCAAATGTGAAAAATCGGGGCGGGGTGGGGGTAATAGGAGCCTATATAAGAAAAAGACCCCAAAATTGGGACATCTGGTCACCCTAATTCTAGCTCTTGCCACTCTGGATTAGACCAGTGATCCTTTCTAGTCTGGTATCTGATCTGGTGCCACACTGCATCAGACCCTTGGTCCTATCTATTTTGGTGGCTATAAGTGATGGCAAACTCATCAGATCTTTGTTCCTGTCTATTCTGATAGCCCAGCTCCTGCATTGGTTTAGAACCTGCTACTTCACTCCATCTGCCCCCTATAATGCACCTTGGCTGTGATTCAGGCTGTCTGAGAGTGGGGTTAACCATTCCTGATCACTTGTACGCTCACCAAGATTTGATTACACAGCAGGAGCTGTCCCCAGTTACCCAACAGAGGCACTTGAGTCTGGCAGAACAAAGTGCAGTTCCTTGGCTCTGCAGCAGGGGATAGAAAGGAACTACTCCCCTAGATCTGTTAGGTCAGCAGGTTCTTGTGCCTCTGTACTGTGAGCTGCGTGCATAGTGTTTGCCCAGAGACCAAACCCTATCTAGTGTAGCTGTACAATTGCTGCTTCGTGACTTGGATGCCATCCTGAAGGCTTCTGAGGCCAGTGTAGCTGGCTGGCTAACGGGATAGCAGCATGATCACACCCAAGCTATTCTCAAGGAGTGCCTGCACAGATCTGAGCTTGCCAATGGTGTTAAGCTGGCACTGAGCAGGGTCATAGGTATTGGCTGTTCCCTGGCAGGCAAAATGAGACCACCTCACCTAGGAGGAAGCTATACCCTTTTGGGTAGTGAGTTGCCAAGTAGCTTCACAACAGGAGACTTGCAAAGGGACTAGCTGCTCTCCCTGAAGAAATGGTTTGAGGGTCATGGCTCCAGGGTTCTGTTCCCACCCCTGCTGTTGACTTGGATAAGTTGCAGTCTCTGCCAGTTTCAGTTTCCCCATCTGTGGACAGGAGCTAATAGGTCAGGTGTGGTGTGAGGCCTAATCAGTGTTTTGCAAAGTGTCTTGAGATCCTTGGATGAAAAATGCCAAGTATTAAGCCTGCCTGGGGGTAGCAGTATGGGCTAGCAGGGTGGGCACTGGCCTAGGAAACCGAAGTTCTGTTCCCCATTCAGACTTCAGGCAAGTCTCTTCACCTCTGCTGCTTTCCCTTCCACTAGTTAAACTGTAAGATCTCAAGCCTAGGGATTTTTACTGTGTGTGTATAGTGCCTAGCACAATGTGGTACTGATCTTGGCTAGGGCCTTTGGACTCTACTCTAATATGAATAAACCCCCAAATAGCCCCCTCAAAATAGAAGCTTCATTTAAAAAGCCCATGTGTGTATCACCTAACCAAGAGGGATGAGCAGACAGAGACGTAGGTGGTGTTTCTGAAACACGAGCTTCTATAAAAGCTTGCAGGCTTGGTTTTACAGATCTGAAATGTTCAGCCAGATCTGCCCTGCCATTGTGTCTTTGAAAAATCTACTATTAAAAAGCCCATATTTGGAAATGTCTTTATTTAGAAAGACTATGTTTAGGGATAGAAAGAAGTGGACCATGACCCTTTGAAATGAGTCTGGATTCTGTGCCTAAACAGTCAGATTGCTCTCAGCCTGTTTTTTGGTTTTTGTTTTATTATCTCTGGCTTTTGATCATTGCATTTCCCTCCCCACAGTGACTTTTGACCTGTTTTCTTCATGGTTGCTATGCCTGTTGCTTGGGGTAAGGTCATTTCTTTAAAATATCAGAGGGTAGCCATGGTAGTCTATATCCACAAAAACAAGGAAGTGGGGTTTTTACCCACCAAAGCTTATGCCCAAGTAAATCCGTTAGTCTTTAAGGTGCCACTGGAGTCCTCGTTGTTTTTATCATTTCTGTAGTTTCCTAAATGACTGAAACTGAGCCCCTCCTCCCCCTTAGGAAAATAAAACCAGTTGTGGCCCCACTTCAGCTCTGCCATACATCTTAGCTACACATCTTAATGCATGCATCTTCAATGCATGCACTCTGTGCATTGTGAAACATTGCTGTTGATGTTAATGTGATGTTTCCTCTCCTTCCTTATGTGCTTTGAGCAGTGAATTAGTGATATTGACATTTAAAGCATCATTAGTAGCATCTGAGTGAGTGTCTTTTGAAATGATGGGGGCAGTCACATCTCAGAGCATTTGTTTCAGGCTCGCTGCAAACTCAGGCACTGCATCAGTTATGCACAGATCATGTTTCGGAGGTTTTCTTTGCAATGATAGCTGATCACTTCCCCTTTATTTTAAATGAAATCTGAGTCACTAAAGAACAACTGACAGATCTTTATATGCACACAAATGAGGGGATGTGCCTTACACTGCAAAATGCTGCCTGGGAAATGCTCTTCTGTTCAATGCTCTCTATGAGCCATTGTACTCAACAGAACTCATCCACTGGGCTTTGGATCAGGCCCCAAATCTTCCATGTATTATCCTTTAAAAGTGTGTGGGGGAAATAAAAGTCGGGCTTTTGCCCTTTATGCTTTATGGTAAGAAGGGAGCCTGAAAGGAATTTTGTGTTGCCTGTTTGTTTTGAATCCTTATTGAACTGAATTATCTTTTCTCCCAAATATTTGCAGGGCAATTGAATTAAACAGAGCTTTAAACAGTCTGCATAAAAAAAAACCCCACTTCTACAATTGTTACATCCTTTGTACTTGTGATGTTATCCAACCACCCTGTTCTTCAGTGATCCATAGAGTCTTCCAGGGGAGACAAGATGTGAATTTCTAGTGCAAAACCCAGTGGCAATGGGGAAGAATTTCAGGCCTCTATCCATTGCAAACAAGCTAGACAAGGGCAAAAGCCCCATTAAGCGTTTCCTTGGCAGGTCACTTGTACGAATGAATTCTGGAGGAACTCAGCAGCTTGCTTGCTAAGTGGTGTTTATCCTTAGTAACAGTTTTATTGCAGTGGCACATAGTGACCAGGCCCCATTGTGCTGGACACACCTGTTATAAAGAGAGAGATTCTGCACAGCTGAGCAACGACTAACTGTAGAAGGCACCATTCAAAACAAGAATGGGTTCTCCTGTGGATGCTGCATCCCCCTGACACAGAGTGCAGGACCTGTATTAGACTGAGCTCTAAGGCTCCTGTGTGTTCTGTTGGCTCTTATAAGCTAAGAGGGTCAAGCCTAGCCAGCATTTGGATGGGAGATGGTCTAGCAAAATCCTGATGCTGCTCAAAAGTGTGTTAGTATGGAGTATGGAAGCAATTCTGTAGCATGGGGCAGGAGGTGCCATTTTGGGGGGGGGCAGTGGATAGGGCAGTGAACTGAGACTCAAGCTGTGGGGTCAGTTCCCAGCTCTGCCATTTATTCCCTATGTGACCTTGGGCAAGTCATTGTGCCTCAGTTCCCCATCTGTATGGGAGTGATAACCCTTCCTCTCCCCACACCCTGTGTCTTGTCAGTTTCGGCTGCAAGGGCTGCCAGGCAGGCACCATCCTGTATGATGCGTAGTATCTAGTGCAATGCAGTCCAAATCTCAGTTGGGCCTCGAGGTGCTACTGGAATATAAACAGAACACTGATCATCCGTCTGCTTGTGCTTGCTGACAGTCCTCCTGTGCTGTTTGCAGGGTTGGGGTGTGTTCATCCCAGTTCTCTGGCCATTTTCCAGTTGGGCTGCTCCTTAAATTTTCTCGGCTGTGTCACCAAGCTCCAAGATCTTTCACCTCCTGTTCCAACCTGTTGTGCAGCGTTGCTGTTAAACAGCTGCCCCGTTCCATTCCAGAGGTGACTGCATTTCAGGGGTTTTTCCCTATGTAGTTGTGTGATCTCTAGCTGAGCAGCCCAATGCACAATGTCAGTTTCTATTTATAGCTCACTGAGGCTGACCTGCTCTCTGACCCATGCAAAAGAGAGGGGGCCAGCTCGGGGGTCTTGCAGGCAGCTGTGCAGTCGTGCACACTCAAATGCTGCAGAATCCTTCATCCCACTGCAGAATGCTAGCAGGCCTCTGGTTTCAATGTATCCCCTTACAGAGCTCTCTAGTTCCTTCCAAACCTCTCCCCAGAGCTAGGTGTAATCACCTGTTGTACTATGGGCCTAATTTCCCTGGCTGGAATCTCAGGCAGGGATTAGTTATAGAAACAAGGCTGTTGAACCCACTGTTTAGGAGGAGATCCTAAATTCCATCACCCACTCACTAGAAGGCAGGGGAAAGGGATGCAGGTGGCTTGGGTTCTAATCCTGCCTTTGGCAGGGACTCTCGGGTCTGGGCAGCTCCTGGCACAAAAGGGCCCTGATCTCAGTCGGGCAGGGCCTGTCTCTCGGTGTGTGTCTGTGCATTGCCTGGCACAGTGGGGCCCTGATCCCAGCCCTCCTCTTACACTAATAACCCTGGCTGCCTAAGCTGTAAACATTGTGTGCCTGCTTTATCACAGGTAGAGGAACTGGGGTCCCGGGAGGGCCAAACCCAAGTGGTGCTGTGACCCCAAGTGCCAGGCTGCATTAACACCACTGTCTCACAGCTGGAGAGGTGGGTGTGTTGGGGCTCCTGGGCCCAGCGGTTCAGGCTGCTGGTGGGGTGGGGGAGCTCCTAAGAGAAGAAGAGGAGGGTCAGGCGAAGCGGTCCCCTTGTTTTACTGCAGCAGCCCCCGTTTACACAGGTGTAAGTCAGGCCACATGCTATCAGCCCAGGGGGAGGCGGGCACCCTGGCCCCTGCCTGCCTGGGGCCCGATCAGTGCCCGCTCCGCCCACAGCCTATACCTAGCTGGCTCAGCCCCGACGGGCGCCGGGCCTGGAGCCGTGTATCTCGGGTGGGTCCCTGTCCAGGCAGGGCTGGGCAAGCGGCCCAGGGGGAGGGGAAGCCGGAGCCAGCCTTGCCAGATGTGAGAAAGGGGACGAGGGGGTGCTGCGCCTCCCCGCGCCACGCCTGCCAGCAACAGGGCGTCTGTGCTTGGACCCTCCCACTCCTGCTGCTCCCCCGGTGCGGTGCCTCTGCCCGCCGTGGGGAGGGGGAAGCTCGCTCCGGCGCTCGCTCGCACACGCCCGCTGCTGGGGGGACCGGAGAGCTGCGCCCTGGGGGTGGCGCATCGGTGCGCGCGGGTCCCCAGCTCGTGGAGCGCCCCCAGCCCGCCGGGGGAGGAGGAAGGGCCCGGGGCGGCCAGCATGCGGTAGCCCCGGGGCGGGAGGAAGGAAGGGGCTCCGGACGGGAGACGTCTGTCATGTTGGCCGGGCTGCTCTTGGGGGCTGCCTGTGTGTCCCTGGTCCTCCTGGGCAGCCCGGGCAGCGCCTATCCCGGCAGGAAGAAGCCGCCCAGCTTTGCCGCGGACAGGTACCGACCCCAGCCCCCATGCCGGGGGCAGCCAAGTCCCAGCCCCCCCGGCAAGGCGGCGGGAGCCGCCCGGTGCCGCGGGGGGTCAAGCCAGGCAGCGGAGCGTGGCCCCAGCGCCTGCGTCTGTCTGTGCCACCACCCCCGGGGGAGGGGGGATCTCGGGGTCCGTCTGTCCCGGACGCCGCTGTGTGTGCACCGTGCCTCGTGTCCGGCTGCCCCCTGGGCGTGTGTCCGTGCGCGGGGCGTGTCAGCATGTGAGCGCTGCGGCTGGCTCTATCTCGCTGCCCTGCGCCTGTCCTGTGTGTACAAGGCTGGGGCCCTTTTCCTCCCTGTGTGTGTCTGGCCAGGGGCGGGCTCTGCCCTTCCCGTCCGTCTGTCAGACCGCGGCACACTCCTGGCCTTTGCTCCGGGGGTGTGTGTGGAACATTTAATCTTCCTGCGTGTGTCTGTCCACGTGTGATCGCCATGCCCCCCTCACTATGCTCTGTGTGTGTCTGTCTGTCCCTCTCAGTGTCTTGTCCCCCTGTGGGTCTGTCTGTACCTTTCCCCTTTGCTTGTCTGTCCAGGTCACACACCAGGCCTTCGCTCTGTGTGTGTGTGTGTGTTACCCACCATCTGTCTGCCTACGTGTGTCTCTGTCTGGGTCTGGGTCACACTCCAGGTTTTTGCTCTGGGGTGCGTGTTGCTGCACTGTTGCTCCCTGCCAAGGCAGGGGGAAGGATGAGGGAATCCTGGGCTGCCCTTCCCCCAGCAGTTCCTGTTGGGAGCAGAGGGGATGTCAGTCCCAGGACCCTGTTCCCCAGCACAGAGCTCACACTCTTGGTCTCCTAGAGGCAGCTCTCAGTGGGGCCCTGGTGGAGTCGCAGCCTCAGGAAAGCAAGGGCTCCAGGGAACATGGAAAGCCAAGCACCCCAGGCCTTGCATCCTGCTGCCTGGTGCTAACCCCCATGGGGCCTTAGTTGAGTCTCTGCCCAGAGGGGTCATCCCTGCATCTGCAGCAGGAGAAGGGGTAGGGGCAGCTTGTCCTTCCCTATATCCCCCCTGCACCTTTGTTCTGGGGTAGCTGTCGCCACCCTGAAGCCCCGTCCCAGAGAATCTGATGTTTCTCTCCTTCCCAGGCACCGTGTGGGGCCGCATGTTTGCCTCTCCGGCTTTGGGAGTGGATGCTGCCCTGGGTGGATGCCATCCCCAGCCAGCGGGCAGTGCACTCTGCGTGAGTATCCTGTGCCCTCCATGACCCACCACCACCTGGTACCTGCAGCACAGACAGCACCTCCCCTATCAGCCCCCAGGTGCCCGGTACTCTGCCTTTCCATGGCACAATGGCACCCCCCGGGGTGAGGGGGGGAAGAGGGGTAATGGCAACCACTGACCAGGCCACACAGGGCAGAATTGCTCATCATGGCTCCTGCCCCTCCTCCCATTGCTGAGAGGGGGCCGTATTCACCCTGTTCCCCAAGAGATCCATTCCCCCCAACTGCTTCCTTCATGTGCCCCCACCATCCCCTGCCCACAGCGGCCAATGCTCTCCCATGGGATCTGCAGCCTGTCTGTCCAGCAGGGGATTGAGGGGCTCTTTCCAGACAGTGCCTGCTCTCCCCATTGGCTCATGCCAGGCTGGGTGTGTAAGAGCTGCTGCCCCGGGTGGAGATGTCACCGAGGGGTCCCTCTGTGTCCTGACCGGCATCTCTCCCGGCCCCTCTCCCACAGCACTCTGCTCCTTTGGCTGTGGCAGCGGCTGGTGCATCGCCCCCAACGTCTGCTCCTGCCGGGATGGAGAGCAGGGCATCACCTGCCCAGGTAACTAGATCCCTTTGCTGAATGCTTGTGGCCCTTTATCTGCAGCCAGAGCCATTCATAGGAGAAGGGCACTATCTAGGGCTAAAACCAGGGGGCTGGGAGGCCTTGTGAGGCTAAGCTATCCGTGCAGTTGGGTGGTAACGTGGTGCCTGTGTGAGGGGCTGCAGCGATGGTGGCACAGGCTGGCCTGTCCCAAGGGCAGAGAGCCACAAGTGGCTGCCCTGCTGCCAGGTTGTACTGCCCAGCTGCCCTTAGGAATCAGAGCCCAGGGCTGCCCGTCTCCAACGAGGGAGTGTGGGCTGGTTCCCAACATCTGGAGAGGGTCTGACTCCACAAAGCACTATGTGGTGGGAGTAGGGGGGGGGCCTCGGAGCGGCACTGGAAGGCCGTGACCCGGCAAGGGGCTGCAGGCAGCGGCGTGGCTGTGTCGGTGGGTTCCTGCGCCGGCATTCTCAGTACGTAGTGCAGGCAATGGGCTCCCAGGACAGTTGCCAAACCCTGCTCCAATTGCGGTGCCTGTCTCAATGAGCCAAGGCAAACAGAGGCGCGGGTAGGAACAGTGAGGGGTCATCCACCATGGGAGGACCCAGCCGACTGGGAGTCTGAGGAAGAACATTGGGCGGAGGTGGCGGGGGAACCAGAGCCGGCTCGTAGCTTGGGGACAGAGGTCTGGGTGTGCAGAGGACACCCACTCACCCAGAGAAGATCCTAGAAGAGAGTCACCTGTGCAGCCCAGGCCCAGACTCCGGGTGGTGCCACCATGCAGCGCATTCATGGAGAGCCAGAGGGGACCAGAGGGCTGTCCAGATCCAGCAGCTTCCACTTTCTATTAACCGCAGCTGAGGCCAGAGTGGGTCTGAGCCCATCTTCTCCATGGACAGGGTGGCACTGGAGTTCCCTGTTCCCAGTGACCCTCATGCTGCAGTGTTGATCTCTCCTTCCTGGGTCTCTGCTGCCCCCGCGATCCCGACTGGCCCGTCAGCCTGCTGCCGTATGTGTTTCAGATCCGCCCAATGCCTGCGGGGAGTATGGCTGTGACCTTGCCTGTAACCATGGCGGCTGCCAGGAGGTGGCCCGTGTCTGCCCGCTGGGTTTCTCCATGGTGGAGACGGCCAACGGCGTGCGCTGTACAGGTGAGCACTCATCAGGCCGCCCACCGTCGGGCTGACCCCTGATCAGAGCCCAGACCTTGGCAGCCAGGGTCACTGAAGCAGCAGAGCTCCGAAGGGCTGTGAGCGGAGGGGTCTGAGTGCCGGCTGGGCATGGGCAGCAATGCAGCCACGCTCGGGATGCCAGAGGGTGACCTGCACCCACTTGGGGTCTGGTGACCGGGCCACAGACAGAGGTGGATGAGCCTGCTTTAGTCTTGGCTAGCAGAGCTGGGTGTTTTCGCTCTGGCATTAGAGGCTTGTCCCATCCATTGGTCCCAAGTTCAATCCCCGCTGACGATGATCCAGCCAGGGGCATGAGTTCCTTGCCTAGAGAGCTCCCCCATCCCTGTCTGATTCTCCCCAGGAAAGGCTGGATCTGCTGGCTGGGACAGGAGTGCCACTTTCTCCTTACAGCTGATGTATGGGCTCCCTGAGCATCCCCGCTGGGGTGCCCATGTTCCCTCAGCTATAAACAGGGCTGGCTGTGCATGTGTGTCCATGGGAGTGGCCGGGTGCCCTCTCCTCCCCGGACCCCGCTGCCAGGTGGCCCTGTCTCTCTCCTAGACATTGACGAGTGCCTGAGCGACTCCTGTGAGGGGTTGTGCGTCAACACCGAGGGAGGCTTTGTGTGTGAGTGCGGCCTAGGCATGCGGCTTTCCGCCGACCGGCACAGCTGCCAGGGTGAGTCCCTGGACCTCAGGGTGCAGAACGAGGGATCAGAGAGAAAGGTGGGGGTGGGGACTGGGCCGAGTGGCTGGTACCGGTGTGTGTAGGGAGGGTGGTGGGAGCTCTGGGGAGTTGTGGGGAGCACCTGTCTCATCCTTTCCTCTTCCAGATACGGACGAGTGTCTGGCCTCTCCATGCCAGCACCGGTGCAAGAACAGCATCGGCAGCTACCGGTGCTTCTGTCGCCCCGGCTACCACCTGCACGGCAACCAGCACTCCTGCTTGGGTGAGCGCCTCCCCCTCCTGCTGATCCGGCCCTCCCCATCCCTCCTGAGAAGCCCCTCTTCCCTCCCCACCCAGCCCTGCCCCTTCTCAGACCCCCCCATCTCCAGTAAGGCTTTGGTTCCAGAGTGCTGCCCAGTCAGTGATACTCCCCCAGCTCAGGGGAAGAGCTGAGTGCTGGTATCCCCACGCTACCACCAATGGGGCAGCCCAGACACTGAGGGGTGAAGGGGCTTCCTCATGGCCATGGCAAGGGACCCAGGAGTGGAAGGGCTCAGTGGCCAGAGCGAAGATCAGGCCCTCGGTGCATTGGAGCTAGTAGGTAGCAGCCGTTGGAGCTGAGCAGATGTTCAGCCAAGCCCCATGAGGTGGGAGCTTTCAGGGGGAACGGGGAATATGGCCCCTGGGCTGAGATTGTTCTAGCTTCTCCTTGATACAGAAGGGGGGACTCTGGCAGTTAAGGTTCCACTGTCTCCCTCTTTAGTGAACCGAGTAGGGGGCCCCCCTGGCCTATTCCCTTCCCTCTCCCCGCTGGGCGGCCCTGTGTCACTGCAGCGACTTGAGTGTGGTCCCACCCAACTCACCCTGCTGCGGGGGGAAGGGGGAATGAGGCTGTGGGGTCATCTATTATTGCCGATTTGTGTCGTGGCAGCAGCCAGCAGCCCAACTCCTAGACCAGGTTTCCGTGGGGCTGGGGGCAGGACAGACCCAGAGCAAGGAGATGGGCCCTGCCCCACGGAGCTTACAGTCTGAATCCCTTCGTGGTGCCTTTTCAGAGCCAGGGTAGCTCCGAAATGGAGAAAAGGCCTTGCCTTCCCCTGAGGTCCAGTGAGAGGTGTCCCCCAGGCTGACTTTGCCCTTTGGCCTGGCTGAGGGCCATCTCCAGATGGGCCTGAGATATCAGCGCATGGTGCTGGGGTGCCCGGCTTTGGGGGCCCTTTGGAGACAGGCTGGGCTGGCGGTAAACGCCCAGGCCTGGCCATCTCCCCAGTCCCAGCCTGCGTGGGGAAGGGCCCTACCTGGCTCCTGCCCAGACCCAGTGAGCAAGTACAGTCCCCGGGTCCCCTGCCCTCCCTCGTAGCTGGTGCTGCTGCTGGGCACTGACGCCTGGCTCTGCCACCCACAGATGTGAACGAGTGCCGCCGGCCCAGCGAGAGGCGCCCCTGCCAGCACGCCTGCCACAACACACCAGGCAGCTTCCTGTGCACCTGCCACCCTGGCTACCGGCTCAGCGGGGACAGGGTGTCCTGCGAAGGTAAGGGTGGGCCCTGCTCCCCCGCCTGTTGGGGGGGGGCGCAGGCCTGCCCACGGTCCCCTGTTGTGGAGAGCATCAGGGTTGGGGTTAGCTCCCGCCCCCATTCTGTGCTGTGGGGAGGGGGCTCTTCCCATTGACAGAGTGGAGAGGGAGTGGGGGTCACGGCTCACGGCGTGGGGAGGTTCTCCATAACAGACTGTGGGTCCGGAGAGCTGGGTTCTGTGCCCTGCAGCACAGGCAGAGCTGGTGTCCCTGGGCCTAGTAGCGTACTCTGGGCATGTCCCGCACCAGTCCCTGGGTCCCCGCCCAGCTGCCCCGGCTCTCCCCAAAGAGCTCCGTGTTGTGTTTCCTTCCAGGCTTCCTGAAAACCATCCCGGCCCCGTCTCCCATCCTGCAGTCCCTGCAGCACCCCCCAACTCTGCTGCTGCTCCCTCCCGACTCTGGGGGACCCCTGCTAGCCCCCAGGGCCTCCCTTCCTTCACATGCCCCTGCCCCCCACCCCCCCCCCCCCCCCCCCTCCCTTCCTGCCTGCCCCCCCCCCCATACCCCCCTTGCTCCCGGCTGCCACCGCTGCCCCTGGCGCGTTCTCCCCACTGCCGCCATCGCTGCTCCAAGGGGAAGTCCCCTCGCCCTCGCCTCGTCCCTCTGCTTCTCTGCCGCCCGCCCTTGCCACCTCGCCTCCCCTCTGCTGGCACCAGGGGGCGCCGCGGGAGCACAGCAGCCATTGGACGGAGCCTGGGTGCCTGCAGTGTGCCTGCGAGGTACGTACCCTCCCACCGGGTCCCCGGCTCCCCTGCCGCGCTCTGGACAGTCCCCCACTAACCGGCCTGTCCCATTGCAGGGGGGCCAAGTGGTGTGTGAGGTGGAGAGCTGCAGGATTCCCTGTTCCCACCCGCTGCCCCCGAAGGACGGGGGGTGCTGCCCCAGCTGCACAGGTGAGACCCGCACCCCCTAGTCTCTCTGGCTCAGGCCCACGGGGTCCGTTGGGGTCACCAGAGCCTGGATGGTTCGGTCCGTGCTGGTTCCTGTCCCAGGTGTGGGTTGTTTCCCAGCCTGGGTGGTGCCCAGCTGGCTGGGCTGTATGACTGCTTCTTGGCAGTCTGTGTGGGTGCCCAGCTCAGCTGTGGCCCTGAGGGCATCACGGGAAGGCTCATGATGTCTCCCCCAAGTGGAGCTGCGAGCCCAGGCCTGTGCCCAGTAGCCTCATGCTGCCCTTGCTTTCCCGTCTCTCGCAGGCTGTTGGCACGAGGGGGTCGCCCGGGCCGAGGGCGATGTGTTCTCTGTGGCTGACGGAAATTGCACAGTCTGCATGTGCCTGGTGAGCATGGCACTGGCTAGGGGATCCAGGCACCTCTGGGGTCTCTGAGGAATGATGTGAGCTTGCTACCCAGACTGGGCTGGAGGGGATTCCCTAAGGAATTTCTTCCCTGTCCCAGAACTCCTGTGACATCGGTACCCAGGGTAGCGGGGAGCCAGAGGCTTAGTGAGGTCACTGTCCAGGTGACTGATTAGAGGCAGTGGCCATGGTGACGTGGCCTCTCAGCTGGGGGTTCAGGGACAGAGACATGGCCCCTCAGGTGGATCAGGGGTGGAGATGTGGCGCTTTGGTGGGGGGATCAGACATGGCAACATGGCCCCCTCCTTGTGGGGTTGGACATGGGTTTAAATGAGCACCCAGAGGAGGGGAGAGTTTCCCAGTGCCAGGTCTGTGGCATGGGGCCCTGGCATTCCCTTTGGTTTCTCTCTCTTCCAGGCCGGCAATGTGTCCTGCATCTCCCCTGAGTGCCCTCCAGGCCCCTGCCCCAGCCCTGCCCAGGCCAACTGCTGCTCCTGCCAGCCAGGTGGGTACCTCAGCAGCTACGGTCCTCAGTTCTGGAGGCTCTGTGGAGTTCCTGGTGCGAAAGGGGTGCCCCATCGGCTGGGCCAATGGGTCTTGTAGATCAGAGAGGAGGAGGATTTGGGAAGGTGGAGCCCAGTGACTGCTTCAGTGATGGGGTAGCAATGACTACACAGAGCGTGTGTGGTCAGTGGTGAGGCAGCATGGCATAGTGGTCAAAGCATGGGATGACAAGTCTGGCCTCCTGGGTTCTCTCCCCAACTGGGGGAACTCTGGCAAGTTGCTTAAGCTCACCGTGCCTCAGTTTCGCTGCCTAGAAATGGGGAGTGTGACCCCTGGAGTGGGTGGGTTGGTCTGAGGCACTTGGAGACTTGCACCCAGGGGGCCTGTTTGAAAAGCCAGGGTCCCATTGTGTGACGGCTCCGGCTGGCCGCGATTCCTGCCATCCCGGTACCAACCGTTCCTTTCCCCCTATCCCCTCAGCCACGTGCGATTTCCACGGGCGCACGTACATGCACGGAGCCGAGTTCAGCTTGGATGGAGACAACTGCACCACCTGCATCTGCCGGGTAGGCCTCAGCCCCCCCGTCCCGGGCTCCCTAGCACAGTGCAGGGGGGTCCTCACCACCTGGGGTCAGTGCCTGCTCACGCATCGCAGAGATACAGGGCTGCTCCACCCCAGACCTAGGTTCCAGGGAAAGGCATGGCCTGTGGGGATGCCCAGGCCAGGGTAGGAGTGTGGGGGGCTAGCAGACAGAGGGCGCCTTCTCCTAGGAGCCCATGGGGGGGATGTGGAAAGGGAGTGAGGGCTGAGGCCAGGCTGCCTCGGTTGGAGTCCTCTGCATGAAAGCTCTGGCAGGGCCTGCGGTGCAGTGAGGATGAGGAGCGGGAGGAAGGAGACGTGGGGCACTGCCCTGCCCCCTTTTCCCCCCAGCTCGTGTGCGACACATCTCTTCCCCAGAGTGGCGAGGTGGAGTGCTCCTTCGCCCCCTGTCCCGAGCTGGCATGTCCCCGCCAGGACTGGCTGCTGGCCCCAGGGCAGTGCTGCTTCTCCTGCCGGGAGCCTGCACCAGCGTCAGGTGAGAGCCTGCGCAGGGGCATGTGCATGTGCTTGCGACGGGCAGGGGCCTTTGTGTGTGACACGCAGGGTGTTTTTGTCATGGGCAGGGGGATGGGCAAGGTGTGTGTGTGATGGGTGGGTAGGTGTAGGGCTCTGTGTGTGTGTGTGTGTCTATTACCCACAGTCCCCCACCTCTCAGGCTGCGCCCATTGGGCTCCCTGCCCCTCCTCTCTACTCCCCTCCTCTCCCGTCAGCCCCAGCCCAGCTCTGAAGCTCTCTCTCTCTCTCTCCCTGGCCAGGTTGCTTCGTGGATGACAATGGGGTAGAGTTTCCGATCGGACAGATCTGGTCTCCGGGTGATCCCTGTGAGTTATGCATCTGCCAGGTGAATGAGAACCTGCTCTACTTCACTCTCCTTACCTGTCCTTACAGCATGCAGTGCGCCCCCTCTGCCCTGCACCCTGCGCTAGCCTTCCCTGGCTGGGGCTGGGGGCCAAGCGCTGTGCCTTATGGATATTGAACCCTCCAGAAGGACTCCACAGCTCTCTGCTGGTGCGTGCTCACTTGGCACTGAAGTGCAGGCCCCCGTCGGGTGGACTGTGGCAGCACACAGCATCGATGGGCCAGGGCTGGCTGTGCGGGGCAGTCGGCCAGGCCGTGTGTGCCGTGAGTTTCTGTCAAGTGCTTCTCTCTTGCAGGCAGACGGCTCGGTGAGCTGCAAGAGGACAGACTGTTTGGAGACGTGTCCTCACCCCATTCAAATCCCTGGCCAGTGCTGCCCGGATTGCTCAGCAGGTAACCGGGCCGGGGGTCCCCTCCCAGGGAGCGACTATCTGCAGTGAGAAGCCCAGGGACAGAGTAGCTTCCCCCTCCATGGCCCAGCCAGCCCTCGTCCTCTCTGCTCAGACAGACGTCAGCCAGGCCACTGAGTGCCTCCTGGGGACATGGAGACCCAACCCCCTACTATCGGCCAAGCAGCCCTCAGACAGGAACAGCTTTTGGTCATCACCAGTGTGGGGCTGACTTTGAACCAGCGACCCAGCTGTGAATGGCTCTCCCTCCATCCCTTGAGCCGTTCTGGTGGAGAGGGCTCTGGGTGTGTCCCACACAGGCTCTGTTCCTGCTCTTGGTCTCTCCAATCTGCCAGGTGTGCCCTGGCCCCCCGGGAGGCAGTTGACTTTCTGGTGGGAGGTGCCATGACTGTGCCTTTCCCTCTCTCCTCCCTGAAGGCTGCACCTACATGGGAAGGATCTTCTTCAACAACGAAACCTTCCCTTCCGCCCTAGACCCCTGCCTCAGCTGCATCTGCCTGGTAAGGGCTTCACCTTCCCTCCAAGCATGTCTGTAGGAAAGGCCTCTCAGGTCCATTAGACCACACGGTCTAAGCCAAGGGGTTTTATCCAGCCTGGGGCTGCACCTTCAACTTCAGGCCCAGGGCTGCTCCAGATGGGTAGAACATGCAGAGTATGGAGGCAGGCACCAAGGTCCCTGGACCAGGGAAGAAGAGTCTAGTGGGGTGCATTGGATGCATCCGATGAAGTGGGCGGTAGCCCACGAATGCTTATGCTCAAATAAATTTGTTAGTCTGTAAGGTGCCACAAGTACTCCTGTTCTTTTTTCAATTAAAAATGAAGTCGCTGTGCGTCATGGGAGTTGTAGTTCAGTTGCCTCATACTCCCAGTCTCCTCTATGGGCTGGGCTCCCTAGTTGGACTACATCTCCCATGCACTAGGGGGAGGTAGTTGCATCATGGGAGATGTAGTCTAGGCAGGGAGTCCAGCCCATAGAGAAGAATGGGGACATGAGGCAATTGAACTAAAGCTCCCATGGGTCAATGCAAGAGCAGTTTCTAATCAAAACGTTTCATTTTGTTGAAAACTCAATTTCCTGTTGAAAAGCTGTTTCAAAGGAGAATTTCCCATCAGCTGTAGGCGTAACCCACTGTGTCTCCTGCCAGTTGTAGTCTCCCAGTCACCTGCCTACCTTGTGTTGCTGCTAAGGCAGAGTCCTAGTGTTGCTGTTCTGTGTCCTACAGCTGGGCTCCGTGGCTTGTTCCCCTGTAGACTGTATCATCTTCTGTATGTACCCGTTCCACCCGGAGGGAGAATGCTGCCCTGTCTGTTATGGTAAGTGCCTAAGCCCTGGCGAGCCCCCGAGTTCTACCCTGGCTGCTTCCAAACCACCGTGGGCTTTGACCACCTCTGATCTTACCACCGGGGGAAGAGGGTCTGGTGTGGTCAGTACTGGGATGGGAGACCTCACAGGCTGCAGGTAGGGGCATTGGGGGGCTCAGTCCAGATAGCTCCTCTCTGAGTCATTGCTGACCCCAATGCCCCTGTGCAGTGCTAGGGGTGCTGTGCTGCCGAGAGTGGCGTGGGGGCTCAGTAGAGGGAGCTTTCTTCTCACAGTCAGGACTGACCCCAGGGCGCCAGGATCTGTGCTGCAGGGAGCAACGTGGGGTGTTGTGCTGCAGGGAGTGGGGTAGGTTACTCAGTAGAAGGCTTTCCCAATGCATCTGGGAGGCTCAATATGGGGTATTCTCCTCTTACAGTCAGCCCTGACCCCAGTGTCCCAGTGCAGTGCAGTGCCAGGGGGACAGTGCAGTCGAATGTGCTTTCTTGTGGGTGAGTTGTAAGATGAAGGCCCTAACCACTTGTGGTCATGAAAACTCCCTTTGCACTTTAGTGAGGTTCGGGGTGTTGCCTTTGGGTAAGTCCCCAAGCAGTGTGAATTAGGTACAACATTCAGCTTCACTTCCTGTCCTACACTCTCTTGTGCAGCATTGCCATGGGCTGCTAAACACCTGCAGCATCCTCGCCTCAGAGGTGGCTGCATGTCAGTGTTGGGTGAAGTGATTCTTCTGTTGTTGTTTGGGTTACAGCAGTGCCTGGAGACCCTAGCTGAGATCAGAGCCCCATTGTGCTAGGCACTGTACATACACACAGCAACCTCTTCAAGGCAGGGACTATCCCTAAATAGGCAAGGCAAATAAAGGGCGGGAAGAGAAACTGAGGCACGGAGTGGGGAAGTGACTTGCCCAGGGTCACCCAGAAGAGGCAAGAATAGAACCAAGGTGTCCTGACTCCCAACCGTGTGTGTGTGTGTGTGTGTGTCAGTCACATCCAATCTCTATATAGTTACTGTAATGTTAAAGCTTGTCTCTCCCCCTGGCTGGGTGTCTGTCCTCTGCAGATTGTAACTACGAAGGCAGGAAGGTGGTGAATGGACAGATGTTTGTACCGGAGGGTGAGCCCTGCATTCACTGCATTTGCCAGGTGAGCTGTTCCCCTCGGAGGGGAGGGAGCTGATGGGGATTGTTCTGTGGGGACTGGGGGAAGGATGGGAATGGGCATCCCTCAGCATCAGCCAAGAGTCCCATGGACTGTGTTGCCATGAGTGTCTATCCTGTGGGGCCTCCAGGGGCTAGTGTGAGGGGACGCTGAGCCCCGCTGGGAACTGCCCTCCTGGGGGCTGGTGCGCGAGGGGATGCTGGGAACTGCCCTCCGGGGGGCTGGTGTGATATGGGCCGAGGGGATGATGGGAGCTGCCCTCTGGGGGCTGGTGTGATATGGGCTGAGGGGATGCTGGAAACTGCCCTCTGGGGGGGCTGGTGTGATATGGGCCAAGGAGATGCTAGGAACTGCCCTCTGGGGAAGCGATGGGGCCTGGTGTGATATGGGCTGAGGGGACGCTGGGAGTTCCCCTTTGGCTTCTGTAGTGCTGCAGGCCTTTGCTTTGGACAAGGGTCCAGTGGGCCTGGGCATGACTGAAGGAAAAGCCAGCGGGTTGCTGGGTGTGTGGAGGAGCTGTCCCCACAAATTGGGGTCGTTTGTCCCGGCCCGGCAGAGAGATGGAGAATGCGGGTGTTCACAGGCTGTCGTGTCTCACCCTTTCCTTTTCCCCCTCTCTCAGTTGGGGGAGGTGAGCTGCGAGAGGAGGCCCTGTGCCCGCTCCTGCACTGAGCCCTCGGCGCTCCCTGCCGCCTGCTGCCCTGCCTGCCAAGGTAATAGCCCTGCACACCTGGCCTCCCTATCCCTGTGCCCTTGGAGTTGGCACAGGCTCTTCCTCCTCCCCCCCCCGCCTACAGAGGGAGCTTTGCCCTTGTGGCAATGACCCTGAACAGGTCGCTGTCATGGACCGAATCCAGGAGGGCTGGAGTGGAAAATTGATCCTCCGCTGCCTGAGCTATGGAGCAGGCCCCTTCGTGCAGCAGCGACAAGAGCTGACTCAGAAGCCCCTGTGTGTGGCAAGGCCACTAGAGGGGCATGGAGAGCAGGCCTGATGCGTGGGCACCCTTGGCACCTCCCGCCCGCAGGGCCCTGGGATGTGATGTCATGTCAGTCACTGCGGCGCCTCCAGGTGAGGCTGTAACTGGGTGCCACTGTCTGGTGTGGAAGAGCCCCCGGGCTTAAGGTAGCCCTGTAGGACAAGCCCCCCATGCCCGCCTGAGGGGCTCGTGTAGGGGAGCACGGTGCCAGGCTGTGGAGCAGGCATGCAGGCTTCGTGCCTGGGTTCCTGGGGTTCCCTAATCTCAGGCCCTTGCCGTACAGCGCTCTGGCCCCCCCATGGGCCCCATGCCCCCGGATGGGTGTACCACAGCCCTGGGGGAAGGCACTAATGATGTCCCTGTCTCCATTAACCGCAGATGCTCCAGTCCCTCTGGAGGGCAGCCCTGTCCTTGTCCACGCAGAGGACGCAGAGGCTGGGAAATCCCCATCCCGCAATCCCAGAGAGAACTCCATTGACCAGCCCAGGGCCAGTGACTGCCGCCTCTGCCCCAGTTCCCCGGCTCCTGCTTCTCCCAGCCCAGAGCTCCTCGCAAGAAGGAACACGCCCCGCTGGGACGCTGGGCCCGTGAACACGGCTGGGCCCCCTCCGGCTGGGCCCCCTCCAGCTGGGCCAGGGTCCTTGGGATCCCGTATGGCTCCCTCGGGGCCTTCTCTGCGCCCCACTGTTCTGATAGAAACCTCTGGGCTGGTGACTGCAGTTCCAAGCCCCAATCAGCCCCCTTCACCCACCCCTGCAGGGCCCAGAACTGCCCCCTGGATCCTCATCCCCAGCGCCGGCTTGGTCCCTGCTCCTCAGAAGCATTCAACGCTCCCATCAGAGGGAGCGGAGCCCCCCCGTGTGAGGAGAGCACGCCTGGCCAGCCAGCTGCGTAGTGCCCCTCGCCGAGGGGATGGGGAGCGCCCGGCCCGTTGCAGCAGCGTGAGGAGGAGGAGGAAACTGACAGGAGAGATGAGCTTGATCGAACGGGGTGGGGGAGGGAAAGGAGGCATCACGTTGTTCTGAGCGGCGTGTATGGGAAGAACCACTGCCTCTTCCCCTGCCCGTGCCTCGCCTGCTCCCTCCCCAGATCCTGCTAGACAGCAGATGCCTCAGAAGGGGCAACGTGTGGGCGGCTCCACACCCCGCTGGTGGGGAGGAGATGGCTTGGCCCCGGCCCGGCTGCCTGAGTAATCCCAGGAGATGAGGGGTGCCATGATGCTCTGGGAGGACATGGTGCCTAGCTGAGATACCATGACTCAAGATTTTCCAGGCATGTGCGAGTTGCCAGCCTCCTTACAACCAAAGTGTGGGAGGAGATGGGGAAGGGCCGAGAGCATGCCCAGCTCCCTGCATCGGGTGGGACGCGCCCATCTGGTCCCAGGGGATGATCCCTGTGCAGGGCTCCTGAGACAGGTGAATCGCCCCACCCTTTGGGGTGGTCCCTGCCTCAGCCAGGCCCAGGGCCCCTGGATCCAGCCCTGAGATCTCCCGCCACTTCTTGCAGACTCGTGTTTAAACCGTAGAGCTGAGATTTCAAAACTTCCTAAGGAATTTGAACACCCAGTTCCCAACTGGGCATCCGGATCCCCTGGGCCACTTTGCAATTCCCACCCTAGATTCCTTGGGGCTGCTGGGAGGCTTTCCCAAGCTACCCCTGATGGACTGGTATCTGATCGCCCATCAGGGCCAGCCTGCCCGTTCTACGGTGAATAGTAATAAAGTTTTCCCTACTAATCCAAGCATTCCCTGCTGCCACCTACAGCTGGCTCTGGCCATGGGGACGAGTACAAACTGAGTGGGCTCAGCAACCCTAGGGCTGATACCCTTAGTGGTGGGGTGATGGCCTGGAGGTGGCAGGTTCTTCCTCTCCTACCACCATCTCCTCAGCCACTCCTGGATTTGGCAATTCGTGCAGTGGCTGATCTCAGCAGGGGAGGGGCTACAGGTGTCTGATGTGAAGGGGACGTAGAGCGGGGAGCCTGTTGCCGGCTTGTTCTCCCCAAGCAACTTCACTCAGCTCCTGGCTAGGAGGGGGGAGAGGATGGGTCCCTGCAGGACCCCGTGGCTGGGAGCAGGTGTCTTCTATGTGGTCTGGGAGGAACGATCTCAGCCTTAGACAAGTTTTTTCCCCAGTGCATGGGGAGCTCACATAGACTTTGCTCATTCCTCTGCGATGGGTGAAGGATTCCAGATCCCAGGCCTGTCAACCAGCGCCCCAGACTAAAGTTGTTTCACTTAGTGTGTAATACCAGCTGTCACCACTGGGTGTCAACACAGGCTGAAATATTTCCTCAGGGACGGCCATCAGACAGAATCCAACCTGACCATCCGTCCCTGGCTTCCGGAAGGAGCTGCTTATGTTCTGAGTTGAACAGGCAAGTCCCCTCTTCTTCACCCATGCAGACGGGCACCCGGGGCTGTGGCCGCCACCCTTGGGCACCTGTGTCTTCCCTCTGCCTGCACAAATGTAGGATTTGGGCTCACACGTCTGAACTTTGGGCCAAAACTGCTAATCAGTTGCACACGGAGATCCGAACCCTCACTGGATTTGCCGCACCTCAATCTCCCCTCCTAGGCCCTATCTCCAGCCTAGTTCCAACTCCAGTCCCAGCAGGACCCCAGGTCACAGGGTGGGGTAATTTATTATTTGTTTGTATTGTGATGGTATCTAGGAGCTCCAGTCACAGGCCAAGCCCCCACTGGGCTAGGAGCTGTACAAGCACAGAACAGAAAGGCAGTCCCTGTCCCCCATGAGCTGATAAGCTATAAACAAAGAGGCAGACAGACTGACAGACTGGGAAACACAAGGAGACAATACAGCTCCGCATGATAGCATATGCTGTCAGCATTGCAGCAGCCTGGCCATGGCCAAGTTCTTTGTAGGGTTGTGAAGCAGAGTTGGGATTGGGGTTAGGATTAGGATTAAAGTCCTTTGGGGCTATTCTGTGGTTAGCATTGGAGTCCGTTGGGGCCAGCGCTAGGGTTAGGGTTCGCTATAAGGTTATAGTTGGGCTAGGAGCTAGAACAACGTGAGAGGGTGAAACATTACAGTCAGTGGGCTAGGATTTAGATTTACCACCATAACCTAACCTTGACATCTTACCCTGCACTGTACTAGCCTCGTTCCAGTGCACAGCATTGCCAGCATCCCTTTCCCAGCCGCTCCCCATAATATTTACCCTCGGTGAATATCAGCCCCCAACTGGTCATGTGCAAAAAAATTCCAAAACACAAGGCCTTAACGCAAACATTGTGAATGTTTAATTACACCCCAAGGGAGTGAAAATTCCCAGCTAGTGTGAACATTTGCTTTGGTTCTAAAATAAGACTCTCAGAGAGCAAAATTGGGCACATTTTCACTTTTTTTTTTTTTTACAAAGTATTTTTGAAGCAAAAATGCAACTTTTTGAAAAGGAAAACCATTTAAGGTCAGAATTTCAGTGTTTCTTTCAGGCAGAAATCAACTTTGTCAAGAAGCGGGGAAGTTTTAGAATTTGAGTGTCCCTGATGTGAAAGTGGCCAGGCCTTGGACCCACACACACAGAGATATTTGTGTGTCCGTGAAATGTTGTGGGTTTTTTTTGTGCCATGCACAAGGAGCCTGTGGAACTCACTGGCACAATAAATCTTTGAGTCCAAGTGTTTAGCAGGATCCCCAAAAGGGTCCATCAGACATTTACCTGGATAATGAGAGAGATGTTAGTAGGGGGTTTAAAAAAGTGTGGAAGGGCTAAACACCCTCATGATTTCAAGGTGTAAAGGCAACCTTGAACAGAGGCCAGGAAGAGACTTGTGCCATGGGCAGGTGTGGGATTTCTGCTGGTACCGGCTATTGTCTGAGACAGAACACTGGGCAAGATGGACAATGGGCTGTTCACTGATCACTGAAAGAGATACTAATTCTTCAGTGACCCACTTCCAACTGCCTCTGGTGAACAGAACATGGGCTTCTGCAGTGCCCCTCTTCCAAACTTCCTGGTGGGGAAGCTAAACTGTTACAGATACAGTTCCCAAGACCACATCTTCCTTTCCCAATAAAAACTTAATAATGGTGCTACCCTCTTTTGACCCGAGTGGCAAGTCAACGTCTGGGTTGTTTCCATTAGGAGGAGACATTGGTGGTGGAGTCAGATATCTTTGATGCAAGCCTGCCTATTTACACAGAATGTACAAAGGTCTCTTTCTCTGAACACAGGAGAAATCAAACAACAGGAGACTGTTTCTGTGCTGCCAGCTCTGAGGCCCTTTCAGCCAGCACTCTGCCCAAAACCTCTCTCTAGGCTTTGCAAAGGGTCATGCTCAGTGCTTGTTCAGCTTGTGTCTGAAGCTTTCTTGCTGCCTTCCTGCTTCTCTGGTGTGTTTGTTGCTTCTCTCTCACACAGACTCCTCCACCAACCAACACCCAGCAAAACTCCTCTGCCCATGTGCAGACCCTCCTGTGCCTTTGTTTTGGCAGGAGACCACTGTTATTTTTATAAAGGAGCTTAACCGTTTCTATTATCTTAAATGAAGGGTGGTGGTTATACCTACCAGTTTCAAGGAAGTTAAACCTGACATATAACAGGTGTCAAAATTAAAACCAACCCCGACTACTTGGCAACCGGGCAGCTCCCAATCAGCTCCAGGGTGCTAGACAGCAGGACTGGCACATGTCATGAGTGTGATTCATTAAAGCCCATGAGCATCTTCAGGCTGGGGAGCTACAGCACAGGTAGTTCATTAGGAAATAGCAGGGGAGCACAAAGCTAAAGTCTGGCTACTGGGCCAGACTTGGCTGCACTCCTGGCCCAGTGTGCTATAGACGGGGGCCTGCTGGGATAAGCAATTAACACCAGGGGAAGGATGAGTTTTTTTGACATGACTGGGAATGAAGCTGTCTATGCTGAGCTACAGCCTCAACGAAAGGACCTGGTACTGGCCAGATCTGACCGTGCTACATTGCATATGGAAAAGTCTCTTTTCCCTAGAGTTTGGTTGAGCAGAGCTGGCCTGGAATGAAAGAGTGCTCCCGGAAACCGCCCTATTCAGGTGTCCCTTGGTGCTGCACATTGCTGGCACCAGGAATTTGGTGCTAGTCTCGTTAATGGGCAGAATTTATTTTCCATGCCCCCCTTGAAAGCTTTCAACAAAGATGCAAAATGGATCACAGGTTTCAAGAAGGGAGGTTGGGTAGAAATATCTGATGCCTATGTAAGCAGGGTCTGAATGAATGCTTCCCTGACAGCTAGCTGGGAGGAGGAGAGACTTTGGGTGTGTTTATGTAAATACAGTTTGCTCCTGATCTGCTTACATATTTAGCAGATACAGCAGTGTCATGGTGATCAATTTTGGCTGGTGTTGGGTACAAATCACCTTAGTACTGAATGCAGGTTTAGTGAAATATGTTTACCAATGTTGTAATCATTGTAGAAATACAGGAAAGCAGGACTATGTTTAACCTGTCCCGGGGGCCACCCTCAGCTGAAAGATCCTTGTTAAGCCATGGGCTCAAATGTCAGAGCCCTGTGAAAGTAAGAGAGGTGGGAATAGATATCTTAGCTAGGGGCTGTACAACCTCATCAAGGGTCCTTATTAGGTTGGTTTAACCTGTTCCTCCCCAGTGTTCAATGAATAGAGCTAAATGGGCTTCATTAGCAGCCTCTTTGTTATGTTAAATGCCCAATCAGACCTGAAATCAGTTGTGGTAGGACTGTGTTTCTGCCCTGCCTGCTCAGAGCTAAAAATCACTGAGAGCTGAAATCACTTGAGCTGTGGCAGTGTTTCTGTCCAGCCTGCAAAGAACTGAAAACTACTAAGAGACTGATGTGCAGAGGTCACAGCAGAGAGGCAGATGGCAGCAGAAGGTGACTGACAGCTGGTGAATGAGTGGCTGGTGTGGTAGAGAGGTGCGATGAGTGCCCAGCGCAGGAGCAGCCAGTGAGTGGCCAGCAGGGTGACTGGCAGAGAGGGATGGCGAGCGAGTGCCTGAGCAGCATAGCGAGTAAGGTACCTCTTTACCCCACCCGGGAGGAGGTGAACTCTGCAGATGCACCTCTGCAGGGCCGGCTTTAGGGCAATTCAGCCGATTCGACTGAATCGGGCCCCGCGCAAAGAGGACCCCGCGCTGCAGCTCTCCACCCCGCCCTCAGCTCACTTCCCCCTCCTCCCCTCCCCTGAACGCTCCGCCCCCTCCCCTGCTTCCCGCGAATCTCTGAAAAGAAGCAGGGGCGGGCAGGCAGCACCAGGTAAGCTGGGGTGGCGGAGGGGCGCGAGAAGGGCTACAGGGAGGCGCGGCCCAGTCCGGCCCTGGTTCCGGCCGAGCAGCAGGCCCCAGCGGCTCTGGCCCGGCTTGGCTCCAGCCCGGCCCCCGCGGCGCGGCT